GGCCATTTTTCCACGAGATGTATTTCCACCTCAGATTCCCGGTATTTTATTTTCTAGCTTTGTCATTCCTGGAGCCATTTTCCACTGGTCTTTGAAGGGGCACATGTCACAGATCTAACTCTGCAAAGCACACACTGATCTACTAGGTCTTAGTGAGACGATTACTGATACAACAGTAATGGAACAAATATTAACCAAATGTAATATACAGCTCTCACAACTCAGCTGGTCCCAGTACACCAGACACTAAAAATGAGAGTGGTTAGGTTTATGACCCTCTTTAGGTTACAAAATTTTGTAATTGCTCCACTATTTATTTATCCTCTTGTTGAAGAATGTTCCAGAATATCGAGTTTACAACCCATGGGTTGTGTAACAGTGGTGGAAGGAATTACGATTGAGAGTTTCAAAGCTACCAAAGGGATTTGGTTGCCCCATTAATTTTAACAGAGATAGGTCATCCAACTCTCTGAAAAGCGTTTCCAGAATTTCAGCCTACAAAGTTTCCTCTCTACCAGCTCCAATCTTCTAGTAATTCAGAACATTATGAGCTCTAGAAACAAGGGAGAAGGTGACACAATCTGGAAATGCTGGGTTCTGATGCTTCAATGCATCTTCAAGAAAACATTCATAGATTTCAAGGTGAAAAGGGACCATTATGATCATCTAGTTTGACCTCCTGCATAACACAGGCCAGAGAACTTCCCCATGCATGAGCTGCACTTTCAGATCTTCTCCTTGTAGAAATGAACATATATGGTAGTTTGTTTGGTGTGTACAGGTCAGGCATCAGATGAAGAGATTATTGTGGTGACCTTTTTGCAGATTGTTCAGAATACTGGAAACATTTTGGGAGATGTGGAAATAACCATCAATAGAAAAGTTCCACAGAAATATCATGTAACTCTGCTATAGGGCAATGCTCAGTTTTAATGTATATGCATACGCTATCTCTCTTAGGTACTTAGTTGCATGGCACACTGTCTTATAGTAAGTGAGCTCCTCACAACGTTTAATGTATTCATCCTCACAACAGCCCTGGGAGGTAGAGCAATGCTATTATCCCCATTTCACAGATGGGGACCTGAGGCACAAGAGGGACTAAGTGACTTGCCCAAGATTCCACAGGAAGTCTGTGGTGCAGCAGGAAACTGAATCCAGGTCTCTCTCTAGTCTTAGGCTAGTGTCCTCACCACTGTATTTGACAACTTCATGCCTCATTAGGTACATTTGTGTCACTTCTTGGCATCCTGCCTTCACCCTGCTTGAGTCCATCTTCTCTGTCTAGACCTTTGCATCATACTTATCTCTGTGGTATCTCTTAATATAACTGTGCTTACCATGCTTAGTGGCTATATAAACAAACTGGTATGTTACTATTTTTATCCCTGTTACTATCACAGTAAGATGAGCATAAATACTCAGAGTGGCACACTGAGGATTTTGGGACTGATCCATAGCCCATTAGAGAGAAAAGGCTGGTGTGGTCATATCTTTTATTGGACCAACTTTGTAACTCTTCTCAGTCTACTTTGGAGCAATTTTGTATCTTTTGCAAACTTTGTCAGCTCCCTTTTTCCAGATCATTTATGAATATGTTAAATAGCACTGGTCCTAGGGTGACCAGATAGCAAGTGTGAAAAATCGGGACAGGGAGTGGGGCGTAATAGGCATCTGAATAAGAAAAAGACCCAAATAGTGGGACTATCCCTATAAAATCGGGACATCTGGTCACCCTAACTGGTCCCAGTACAGATCCTTGGGGGATACCACTATTTACCTCTATCCATTGTGAAGACTGACCATTTATTCCTCCCCTTGGTTTCCTATCTTTTGACCAGTTACTGATCCATGAGAGGACCTTCCCTCTTATCCCATGACTGCTTACTTTGCTTAAGAGCCTTTGTCGAGGGTGCTTGATGAAGGCTGTCTGAACTTCCAAGTACACTGAATTAACTGGATCACCCTTGTCCACATGCTTGTAGACATCCTCAAAGAATTCTTATAGATTAGTTAGGCATGATTTCCCTTTACAAAAGCTGTGTTGACTCTTCCCTAACATATTGTGTTCATCTATGTGTCTGACAATTCTGTTCTTTACTACAGTTTCAACCAGTTTTCCTAATAATGAATTTAGGCTTATCGTCCTGTAATTGCCAGGATCACCTCTGGAATCTTTTCTAAAAATTGGAGTTATATTAGCTATCCTCCCGTCATCCGGTACCGTATTTAATAGTTCTGCCATTTCATATTTGAAATGTTGTTAGACACTTACAATACCTCCTACCCTTCTGGGGGTAGCTTTTGCTTTAACAGTGAGTACAGGGATCCCTATCTATCTCTTACAATCTTGCATGGGTTTGGGGAACGTAATAAATGTTTTTGAAGACTTTGAGATTCTTCAATGAAAGACCCCACAGAGGTGCAAAATATTTTTATTAATGTTCTCAACATGAGTCATGAAGCAGAATCTCATTGGGACAAGTTCTGATGCCCATATACTGAGTAATAGTTCACTCCGTGGAGTAAAGTGCTACTCAGCGTGAGTAAAGGTGTCAGAATTTGGCTCATTGACATTTTGAAATGTCAAGAAATATCAGCTGTTTTTAGAATTCATAACAAACCTAGAGAATTTAGTGAGAAGCCTCTTGGTTAGGTGTAAGAGCATTATTGAGCTTTGAAGAGTCTCATTATTGTTGCCTTTGAATGTCAAAGTTACTGTGTCTTTATTAATAAGTCTTCTGTAAGCAACAATGAATGCCTAGTAGCAGTGAGGATCCAGATGAGTGACATTGGAAAGACTTTTAGGGGCAATGTGAGATGGTGGAAAGTGACTTTGACTGTTCAGAGTGCTGTCTTAATGGATTTAAGAACAAATTAGCTACTAATAGTAGTAGATATGAATCTTTTTTTGGACTAGAACAAAATGTTCCATAATGAAACATGTGGTTTCACTTTGAAGCACATTTTGTAAATTGTCACCAGTGAAGTTAAGAATTTTTTGTTACTCACTGGTTTCACTCAGGAGGCAAAACTTTTAACTGGGCTTTAACTGTTTCTGTCAGAAAAGGCACAGCTTCAGTGTAATACAAATAGTTTTGCAGGCCACATTGACTATGCGTTTCATGCCACTTTTTTCTCGCTGTACCCTTTGGACCACGCTTGGGATAGGTGAAGATTCGATCTCGCCCCAATTGAACCTTCGCTCAAATCTCAAATCTAACGTGAACTTTTCTTTAAGTTAGGAAAAGTTTCCCTTTGGTTTTGTATTATTTGTGTGCCTTTGTTTTGGGTACCTTAGCATTTCCATGAGAGAGAGGCTGTTGGATTGTGTTTCTAACCTGACCATAAGCAAGAATTATTAAAACTCTAGCAAAACACAAAACAAAAACACACACAACAACAACTGACATTTCTCATAGCTGTTCCAGCCAAAGTGTACAGCTGCAAGAGGTGGAAGTAGTTCAGATGGCCATGGTGAAGGGACTCAGTTGACCTGGGTTCAAATCCCAGCACTAGGATAGACTTCTTATATGACCTTGGGCAAGTCACCTAACCTCTCTATGCCATATGCATAAAATGGGGATAATAATAATTAATAATACTTGAACCTGGGTCTTCCACATCCCAGCCTGCAGTCCTAACTACTGAATCATCCTTCCTCAAACATAATAAGGTTCTCCCATTGCTAGTCCAAATTTGGCTGCCCAAATATAATTACTGTAAGAGTCAAGAAAATGGTTGTTTGCTACAAAATGCATTTTCTTCTAAAAGTGAAAGAAAGAAGGGAAATATCTTTCCACCCTGTATGCACCTTGACCTCAACAAAGGTAACCGTTTGTTAACAATAGTGTGATTTCCCACAGTGACGGAGAATCCACCACAGCCTTTGGTAAGCTGTTCCGATGGTTAATTACTCGCACTGTTAAAAATTTGCACATTATTTCCAGTCTGAATTTAGGGTTCAAAAAAGAACTAGATAAATTCATAGAGGACAGGTCCGTCAATGGCTATTGACAATGGGCAGGAATGGTGTCCCTAGCCCCGGTTTACCAGAAGCTGGGAATGGGTGACAGGGGATGGATCACTTGATGATTACCTGTTATCATTACCTTGATTACCATCATTACCTTGATTACCTGTTATCATTACCTTGATCACTTGATAATTACCTTGATTACCTGTTCTGTTCATTCCCTCTGGGGAACCTGGCATTGGCCACTGTCAGAAGACAGGATATTGGGCTAGATGGACCTTTCGTCTGAGCCAGTTTGGCCGTTTTTATGGTCTTATGTCTAGCTTCAACTTCCAGTCATTGGATCATGTTATACCTTTTTCTGCTAGATTGAAGAGCTTATTATTAAAGGTATCTTATATCATCAGGTATGGGAAGTACCACACTTGTGCCTGGCCACTGCATAGAGGTAAAAGTTAGACCTGTGAGGAAAAAGGTTTTTCCATCCCTTGAACATTTTTGAGATTTCAATTTTTTTCCTGTCCCAAACAGGAATGAAAAGTCAAAGTCTTGACTTTTTCTGTAAAATGAAAACCTGAGAGGTGGAGGGAAAGTTTGCAGGTCAGTTGAACTATTTCATTTAGATGATTTCAAAATCTTTTGTTTTGATTTTGACCTTTTTGATTTAATTTTGTACTCCAATCGTCTTTAAGGTTTTTAAACCAAAAAGATGTTTTGAGCCAGAAATCTTTTCCTTTCTAAAATATTGAAATGAAATGCTTAGACGATTTCAAAACTTCTTTCCAAAAATTCTTCAAGTTGAAAACTGTGTCGAAACGGACACTTTCCCATGGAAAGTTTTTGTTTTGACAAATTGATGTTTTCTGAGGGGGAAAAAAACGTTTAATCAAAAAATTCCCAACCCGCTGTAGGAAAAGCCCTTCGCATCCTCATGTGCCTTCACAGTGGCTGGTATAGTTCTTTCTATCAGGCTTTTGTTAGGATGGTCACCCATTAACATATTACATTTATATGTGTTTTGCAGCTCAAGGACAAAGAACACAAGCCCTTCTTCGGGAGGGTCCTCAGGAACAGCTGCATCTGCTGTCCATATTTTTGAGCCTGTACCAGTGTCTTCTCCCTCTTCGATTCCTCTTCAGTCAGATGAAGAAGACAGCCTTCCACCTCACCTCCTGCTACCAGATAGCATCAGCCAGCTGGAAGAGTTTGGCCGTCAGAAGAAATGGCATAAGAAGCAGCACAAACACCATCGCCAAAGGCAGTTCAATGATCTGTGGGTTCGAATAGAAGACAGGTGAGTCATTGCTATTACCCCAGCACCTTTTTCCTTCTCATTGTCTCAAGACTTGACTGTTGACCCCCACTGATTGGCTGATGTAACAAAGTCATGAGTCATGAGGGGACTCTGGGGGTAAGGAGTTGGGGCTGGAATGTGTGAGGATATATTTCAGGCATAGAGGGGGGAATATGGGAGTTGGGATGAAGGCTAAGCTGTTATAGATACATTGGATCCAAACTGGAAAGGAAAAGAGAGAGGTCGGCATGATGAGGTTTAAAATACAGGTTTATAAAGGCCAGCTAACAAACCAAAGGAAATGAAACAAACATTATTTGGAAGTGGCTACCTATCTTTCAATATAGCTGTTCATCTTAGGGTTACATACTGGTGCCCATCACAGAAGTATCTGACCGCCTTCCATCTAAAATTGATAGCAAAAGCATGGAGTCTCTGGTACTTCTCCCATGTTGGGGTGAAAACTGTGCTTTTCATTTGTGTATTTTGTAGGTTTTTTCGAACTATTTTATGTTGTGATTGGTTGATTTACCCATGTTACAGGTTTTATTTCCTATTTTGGGTGGGTTCATGGACAGGTGAGGGTGTCACTGTTCTGAGTGTGACCTATGCTGTGGTGGAAAGGCTCTTTGGAAGAGGGAGGTTTTGCAGTGTCTCTTAAAGATGGTCAGAGTCTGGATTCTCCTGGTCTTATCTGGAAGTTTGTTCCACAGATGGAGCCGCTTTGTCCCCAGCTCTCACGCACTCAGTCCTGGCTTCTGTGATCTGAGTTATCCCAGAGAAGGGCAACCTCCTTGTTTTCCATTTGAAGGGTTCCAAGTCCTCCAGTGTCCCAGAATTCCATAGGACCGCCTGTCCCAGCTCAACATCATGTGGGACAAAAGGGTGTGTTAAAGGCTCAGATCTGGTTGGGGTATGGGTGTTAGCCACACTCCCTGAATTATCTATAAATTCAGGCTAACGGGCAGGATACCTGCTATGCTATGTAGCTATGAGTTCAAACAGCTGGATGGAATTGGCTATTCTTTTTTTTTTATTTATAACTACCATTGCTTCCAAAAATGATTTTGAAAAGGATGGTTCCCCAGCTTAGTGTTGCACTGATACTTTTACTACCCCTACAGGATCTCATCTGAATCTGAACCTTTTATTCCTTTCCCTTCGATGAGGACTGAGGAGATGGTAAAATGTCCGTTTTCTGGCTCACAGAGGCTATGATGAGCAAGACTTTGCATGACATTTGCTTTGCAGCAGTGTTTCTAAGGAGGCATATGGGGGGTTGGGTGGGAGACCAAAGATCTAAAATGAAGAAGGGGGAAAATAAATCTGCTTTAGTGCTTTCAAATGATTTTTTGTCTGGGGGTTTGTTTGTTTTTTTTGGTGCTGTTACAATTCTAAAGCAACTTCCGTTTTAAAAAAAAATTACAAACTGTTAATCCAAAATCAGAGGCTCATGGGAAGCTTTGGTTTCCCAATAAAATGGATGTGGTATTGAACTTTACAAACCAGCTGCTGCATATTGTGCTTTTGGCAGTTCTGTTTCATCGGCATCAACTGCACGCTGGGCCTAGCGCGATGCATTGCACAGGGTGTTATTTTTTAAATGGTTCCATTCCCATTGGCCATAGTAGAACATAAGACTGTGTAAGTTATTAGAGTTTGTAGTCTGATTATTCCCTGAACGGGTGCGATAGAATAATTCTGCGGCCAGCTTGGCTCCTGGGCATTTCTTAAGAGAAGATAAATTCAACGGGTTAGATCCACAGCTGAGCTATGCTGATTTTACACCATCTTGGGCTCTGGCCCAGTATACCAAGAATGTTCTCCCAGTTCACGGCTGTTTCCTAGCTTCCCTATTATTGGGTTACGTTATACACTGGAAACTTGGTAAGAGGGAAAGGTGCACAAACCTGGGGTAAGTTGGGGTGGGAGGGGAACCTGTGTCATTTTTATTTCAGGTGAAAACCATGTAAAACTCAGTCGGCTTCCATCCAAAGCCTTCAAACTTCAATATTTTCAGTTGAGTTTCAAAGCCAAATGTGTGAGTGGCGGAGCACACATGCAAATTTAAACCAGATTAAAGGTTCTTGTCTGAACCCCACTGAACTATGAAATCACTGTTTCAGAGCTCTTTTCCAAAGCTTTATTGACCATGGATTAGAGGACTTTATGAGCCATGAATTGCAGGGCTTTTATGGACTGTGGATTAAAAGTCCATCTCCTACACATCCTTGGAAATTTTAGGGTGTTTTTTTAAGCTTCCAATACAGAAACAAAGGAAATGAACAAATGAGAACAATGTTAAAGGAACATCAAAGGTCTGAATTCAACCTATAAAAGCCAGGAAATCCATAATTAATGGTTCCACTCAGGCCTTAACTCATACAGTATTTCTAGTCTGCTCTGGGGTTATAGCCACCATCTGAAATAGTCTAACAAAGACGAGTCATCATTTAACATCATACATTATTATTATTTTATTTTAAACATTGTCTCTCTCCTTTTATTCTATCCTGAGAGCTGGGACTAGCTGTCACACACAAACTGATATTCTCTAGATTTGTATAACATCAGGGTGTTCTGGTAGAAGGCAGGGGTGAAAGTAACTGAAAGGACTTACCGGTACTCTGGAGTCCTGAGCAGGGGGTGGCCTCAACCGCAAGAGGCATTGCCTGAACCAGAGGAGGCGAAGCCTTTCAAGATTTAAAGGCCCTGGGGCTCCAGCTGGGAGCCCCAGGGCTTTTAAATCACCCCAGAGCTACCAGCTGCAGAGGTGGCTGGGAGCCCCCGGGTGCAGGGGCAAATTAAAGGGGGGAGGGATAGCTCAGTGGTCTGAGCATTGGCCTGCTAAACCCAGGGTTGTGAGTTGAATCCTTGAGGGGGCCATTTGGGATCTGGGGCAAAAATTGGGGATTGGTCCTGCTTTGAGCAGGGGGTTGGACTAGATGACCTCCTGAGGTCCCCTCCAACCCTGATATTCTGTGATTCTGTGAAAGGGCACAGGGCTCCAGCCGCCGCAGAGCTCCAGGCTCTTCAAATCACCGCAGATGCCCTGCCGCTGCTACCCCGGGGCGGCAGGGCTCTGGTGGTGATGTAAAGGGCCCGGAGCTCCGGCCGCTGCACCCGAGCCCTGCTGCCGGAGCTCCGGTGGCGTTTCAGGGCTTGGACGGCACTTTAAAGGGCCTGAGACTCCCCGCAGCAGCCGGCGCTCCGGGCCCTTTAAATCTCTGCCCAAGCCCGGCTGCCGGAGCTCCGGCGGGGAGTCTTTAAAGCACTTTAAAGCCTCAGGCCCTTTAAAGCACTGCCCAAGCCCCGCAGCTGGAGCTCCAGGGGTGATTTAAAGGGCCAGGGGCTCCCCGCAGCGGTTGGAGCCCTGGGCCCTTTAAATCATCCCTGGAGAAGCCGGTCCAGTCTGGCACGGCATACTGGCTCTTGCCGGTACGCCGTACCTGACCGTACCGGCTTACTTTCACCTCCGGTAGAAGGTTTCTAGATCTGGAATTCACCTCCCCCTGTTGCTCTGACAAAGCCAAGATTCGTTACAAAGCTGAACTATGTCATATGTGGGGGTTGAAAAATACAATTTTATTTCAACAATTTTTTTTTCAAATGTAACAATTTCATTCAAAAATGTGCCATGGCCAATTTTGATTATTTTTTTAAACAAAAAAAAAACTTAAACAAAATTAAAATGTCCCTTTCTCATGGCAATGTTGGTTGTCAAAAATGAAACGAGAATTGTAATTAGAAATGAAACCAAATGGTTTCATTTCCATTTTCAGAAATCTTCATTTTGTTTCAAATTTGTTTCTTTGCACGAAACATTTTGATTTCCACAAAACTAAATGTTGAGCAGTTCAGCTAGCTTAGCTGGGATTTTGGGGGGAAGGTGGGAGAGTCGGGGGATGGGGGGCATGGATGGATTGCACTGAGAGGGTAGGGTGACCAGACAGCAAGTGTGAAAAATCGGGACGGGGTGCAGGGGTAGGGGGGAGTAATAGGAGCCTATATAAGAAAAAGACTCAATAATCAGGACTGTCCCTAGAAATTCGGACATCCGGTCACCCTATGAGAGGGTCACTGCTTCAGTTGGATGGGGAAAGTTTTACTGTTTCCATTGAAACCATCAACTCAGTTTCCTCTTCTAATATGAATAGTTAATTACTGATTATATGCTTGGGGCAATTAAAATACCGTAGGCATTTGAATGCAAACAGACAAGGTCCTTGCCCTTAAGGGTTTAGACTCTAAAACCATAAGCAAAAAATACTACAAGACCTAGAGAATATATACACCATCGGTTGTTGACATTGTCATTTGAGCACTTCATAGAATAGAAGGGTCTTTAGAAAAGTTCCTTACAGGTAGAGAGGCGGGGAGGTTGGTGAATGGAGGACTATTTCAGGAGCTGAGATAATTTGGAATAAGGCAGAGAGTCTGGAGGAAGTGAAAGGGACAAATGAAATGGTGAGAAGGAAGGACTGGGTAGAGCAGAATGAGAGTGAGGGGCAAATCAGGGATTAACAGCCTTGCTGAGCCTTGAGCAAGAGCTGTTAATGGGGTGGAGTTATGGAGTGCATTGAAGGTGAGTAGAAGGTTCAGATTCATGCAGAATGAAAAATGGGAGCAAATGTAGAAAATTTCAAGGAGCGGGGAGGAGACTTGGTCAGAGAAAGGAAAGGACTAAGAGTGTCTAATGTAGCCATGGAACTGCAGGTCTGTTATTGCCTGAAAATGAAATAAAATCCCACTGTGAATGGGAATGGCATTTCCTTGATAGCCCATTGGTGAATGTTCAACCCCAGATGAATGCAGTAACATTACAAACATCCATTTCTTTTCAAAGTGACAGCTATTTCAGACTAAAAACTTTATGCCAGTGATGAATGAAGAGTGACAATGTGCAATAAACTCCCCTAATCATGCCCATATATAGTGAACCTTATCAGTTGGGCTGGAATTTAAGCCAGTTAGTCTGTTATCCTTTCCTTGAAGACAAT